ACCAAGGTGGAATGGTGTGGAAACGAGGGAGATGGACAACGGAATCTGGAGAAAATGAGAGATTGCCGCCTGGTTCTTAAAAACTGGACGAACATAGGGTCGTCGTTCCCACTACACCCTCCTTTGGATTTCTCAAACCTCTTTTCACCTTATGTCTTTTACCTGGCAGAGATTTTGTCATGAAATACCAAATCATTCATCCACCACCGTATCACCCACACCTACATACACCCATTCATGGAGTTCCTCCCTGGAGCCCTTCGGGGAGGACTCCACTAACATACAAAACCTTTCATACTACAATCATTATCTACTGCTCAGTTAACCCCCAAGTCTTCAAGGTAGTCAATGCTGGCAGTAGCATCTGAACTATGGAGTGACTTCTGAAGTCTTTCATATATCTTGGGAAGTTGTACCATATTTCCAGTAGGTGCTGCTTTCCACCAATAAAACGGAGTCTGACAAAAAAAAATAAAAATAAAAATATAATTGATTGTTGTGTTTATTTTTTAGGGTCTGCCTATTTGACTTTTGAAGTCATGCATTCTTTCTAAGCATAATGGTTCGGTCTATCTGTTTTCCTTGGGGGTTTTAATTGAAGTTTGAGAAAAAAGTCAAACTTCATGCTTTTGTGTGACTTTAAGATAGGATGAACATTGTTTATAACCAAAATAGTTCAGTCATTTGTTTTATTCCGAGGGAGGATTTTGATTAAAGGCTATGCAATTTTTATAAGCAGAATGGTTTAGCCTGAAGCAATACACACAAGTGCAAACTGAGTATAAATTGGAAATACTTTATGTATATTTGCATATGAACAAGCATTTGGACATTGTTTCTAATCAGAATGATTCATCTTAAGCCATATTACTAAGAAGAGAAGTAAAGTCAATAATATAATTGGAAAGCAAAGTCAAGGGTATAATTGGAAGTAAACTGGGCAAGTCGAGCATTGCTTCTAAGCAGAATGACTCGGTCCCCTGGCCATATCAGAAGAAAAGTTATAAAATTACTTAAAATTTATATATTTAAATAGTTTGGGGCGACTGAACATTGTTTCGAAGCAAAATGGTGTAGTCGCATGACAAAAAAAAAGAGTAGTTGTGCAACCTTTCGTGTATATTTTAAGGCATGCTAGATATTGTTTCTAAGCAGAATGGTCTCGCGTCATCTCATATGTAAGATGGGTATAAGGTTAATCATATGGAGGACTAATTAACTATTTTATGTGGAAGCAACTTGGGATTTTTTTTTAGAGACATACCTTGGTTATTTGTGTTGCTTGACTATGAGATTAACTTTCAATTTAGTCTGAGTTATCGTTTGTTAGTTAGTTGCTTTAAATGCTCACCGTGTGTTGGAGTTATCTTCAAATTTATGCGTTTTTTTAGTTAAGTTCACTTCTCGTATTTGACTTTGTATAAATTTTGAAAATACACTTTTCACTAGGGGAAGTGATGCTCAAATTTATGTAAAACTAAGAAGTTAGTCAAATTTTGTCTTCAAAAAATTTAACTTTTGTCTAAATTTCATATCCGACTTCGTAAAAATTTACCCTAAAAAAGTTTAATTTTTGTCTAACGTAGTAAAATTTTGGGAAGCCTGTTTTTATAAAAGAGGTGTTGCCTAATTTTTTGCTAAAACGGGGAGTTTGATAAAATTTGGCTTTGTGAAGTCATGATTATTTTTTGACTTTATATTTAGCTTTGTACAATGTACGTATTCCGCCTCAATGTATGTATTTCGCCTGTTCTTCAATTTTGCGAGTTCCAAAAAAATGCAACTGTAACCGCAGTTGAATTTGACCTCGTGTAGTGCCCATTTGTTTATATTTAGCTTTGCGTCATGCTAAATCTGGACAGTGCAGAGAGTGGTTGAAGTTGAACCCGTGTAGTGTGTGGTCTGTTGATGTTGAATCTTTAGTGTGATTGCAAGTATGTTTCAAGTTTGTGAGTTGAAGTCGGAATTGACTTTGTCTGCGACCATGTGTACATTTTGAAGAGAGTCACACTATAATTGTAAGAGTGATCGGCTTATGTCTTATAACCCTGTTATATTTATATTTTGTGTATCAGCGTGGTCTGTTGTAACCGCGCTTAAAAATCGAGAAGATTTGTGTCGAGAGAAAAACAAGAATTTTTTTTTACTTTGTTTTTTTATAATTTTTATAATTGAACGTTAACGTCCGTGGCAACTGTCAAAGTCAGACTGCTTTATCTGTTTCCAGGCCTCCGATGATGGAACCTCACTCCGAGGGGCAAGGGAATTTGGCCGCTACAAAGGGCTGAAGTCTACCTACCACTCACCAACGCAGGGTGCAGAAGAGGGTAGGCCTCGCAATCGTACTCACAATTGTCTAACGTCGAGAGATTAACCTCTCAAGACGCGTGTCAGCCGACACTTGAGTGTCGAAAGCAACTATAAAAGTCGTCGAGGGCCGCATGATTATGGGTATCACATAATACATCATCCTCGCAATCGCTTTCGTAGCCATGCATGGTTGATTGTTGTGACAAGACCTACGTTGCTGCGAGATTTATTTAAAGTCTCGCGCGTGACGCTCATCTATCGTCTGTTGTCAAAAGGTTATGGGTTGGATACGAAAAAGGGACTAAGCGTGACTTATGTGTGAAACGTAGTTTTATTTTTATGAAGTGTATCGTGTGGTTAGATGGACTGCCCTAGTCGACCGACGCAGAGCCGCGCTTGGAAAATCAGCCCCACAATGTCGGTTCGCGTACAGGTCTGAGTAAGGCGTTTGATCGCCCGTTCCCCCTAAGCTACGACGTACGAGAAAACGCCCTCAGGTGGGTCACGTCAACGATTGCACCCGAGCAACTTTCACATGTGGTTCGGTAGCTCGACGGGGATACGCCTGTCGAAGGGTGGTGACAGCCCCCTGAGTAGAGATAAGTTGTTCCTCGCTCAACCTCTATCCTATTGTAGGGGGTTGTAGAGGTATGGCTGGCGCTCGATCGGAGCGGCGAAAACTCCACTAGCGAAGAAGTTCTGCAAAATCCTGCGTGACGCGGCCAGGAGGGTCTTACTGCAGGACCGATGCCCTCGACAACGTTTTGTGTGTGTTTGGGGGTTGTGTGTGGTGTGTGAAGAGCGCTGGACATTTTGGTACTTCCCGGGGGTTGCGGGAGTACATGGAAGGCACAACTATTGACAAATTGTGTGTTTGGGGGTTGTCTGTGGTTTCTGGGAGAGGGCTGGCCATAGACACTGCTGTTACTGCAGGGGGGTTGGGCGAAGTAGATGGCAGGCACAGCTACTGGCGAATGCTCGGTCTTTGCTTTCCTCTGCGGCCCCCCGGCCCCCCTCTCCCCACCTTGGCCCCACCCTGCTCCGTGACCACAGCCGATTAGGGCGTGGGGCAACATGCATCCCCTTGATTGTGAGTAGCTATGCTTGCAGGGGTCCCCTGTATAGGCTTAGGGGTAGTCGTAGGTAAGATATTGAAAGGTGAAGTTTAGAGAAGAAGGCCGCTCGTGCGCCGAGCAAGGCTATTTTTCCATATCCGGTTCGTCCCCGCGCAGGCCTCAGGAGGCCAGCTGCCCTGTGGTGCCAGTACGATCCCCCCCACCTCGTCTTTTGGGGGGCGGCAGTACTTACGGGGGGGCCGTACTGGCCCCGTGACGGAGGCGTTTTTTTTTTCTTGGGGGGCGGCAGTACTTACGGGGGGGCCGTACTGGCCCCGTGACGGAGGCGTTTTTTTTTTCTGCTGGGAAAGAGAGATAGAGAACTGCCCTCAACAAAACACCTTCCGGATTGCTCGTGGAACAATCAATGTGCGTGTTTTATTTCATATTTCATTGATTCATGTTGTGTACGTGCTCGTGGAACAATCAATGTGCGTGTTTTATTTCATATTTCATTGATTCATGTTGTGTACGTGTGCAAGGGACAGAAAAGGGTGAGAGAGGCGAACGGGCGGGAAGGGAGCCTTCTAGAGGTGTACGGCGTCGTACGGGAGACATAGGGCGGTTTCGCAGTACCTGTACGGAGCAGTGTTGGATCAATGTACGTATTCCGCCTGTTCTTTCTGTTCTTTCTGTTTTGTGGATGTGTGGTGACACGTTCGCTACACTCAACCCCACAGAATGAAAAGCATGATTCTGTGTGTGTGTGTGTGTGTGTGTGTGTGTGTGTGTGTGTGCGTGTACCTGTTTGTTGGCATGCTCGATATACACAACTCCACAGAAAAGCATGTGTGAGTGTGTGTCTGTCTGTCTGTCTGTATTGTCATGTTCGCTAGACACAACTCCACAGAAAAAGCATGACTCTCTGTGTGTGTGTGTGTGTGTGTGTGTGTGTGTGTGTG